CAGTGCCTTTTGAGCTGCTGCCCCAGCACTGGAGTTTGGAGCAAATGAGTCTGAGTAAGTCCATGTATGGACCCTTTAAGAGGAACATCTGGGATTCCAGAAGCCCTCGATCTCACTCAGTCACAATCCCCACTGATTTTCAGTCAGAAATTAAGGGGACTTCTCTTCCTGGCACTGGATCCTTGGGCTGAAGGCCTGGTGTGGGGTTCGGACCCCTTGCTCCTCATGTGGGACCTCCACAGCTGAGACAGCCCTCCTGATTTTTATCTGCTACATGTGGGTGTGGGACTGCCTGTTCCTTATCTCCACCCCCTCCTACCAGTCTCAGTGTGGCTGCTTCTTTATGTCCTTAGTTGTAGGACTTCTATTCAGCTAGATTTCAGATGATTCTGAATGATGGTTGTTGTGTAGTTGTAATTTTGATGTGGTTGTGGGAGGATTTGAGTACCACATTTACCTACACCAGTATCTTGGCCAGAACACCTTTTTTTTTAATTAGTTTAGTTTGTCCCTCATATGCCTGGTTATTCAAGATAGAATATCAGTCATTGTATATGAAAAATTGTGGAGCTTTTAGTCCTAGGATGTCATTATCTCCCTTCAGAAGACTTTCTTGTGGTAGGTGGGTGGTCACACTCGCAATCCCAGGTCACCTAAACTCAGTGAGTGATGGGATATTTGAAGCTGGGCTTTCATCCTGTGAGTCTCTGGTCTCTTTCTCGTTTACCCTTATTTCTAGAGTATAACTTCTCTAGGCACTCCAGTCAGAGCATTAGACATTTGTCAGATTCTTCATCCCTGGCAGACCCTAAATTCCTTTATTTTTCCCTTGTTAGTTTATTGAGTTTATTTCAACTTCTCATCATCTTAGCCACCTCTTACAAAATTGGTAGGCTATATCTGAAAAAATGGACCCTCTTGTTCTGAACTTGTCTCACTGCATGTCTGTGATACTGATTTACAGTATATTTGGTCTTTATCCCCATTCCTAAAATCCTTGGAATTTGCTAAATGACAAGAGTAACAAAGGTAAAAAGAGTGTCTTTTGTTTTCATAACAAGCCCCTTTGAACTACATCTAAATTTATATTAATGAGGTGACTTGGAAAACCCCTAAAAGTGGGGAGTTCTGATTGCTAGAGGAGCCAGTCAGTCATGTTATTAGAGTTGGACCATTCAACCTCATCCCTTTACCTCTGGAAGAGGGAGGGGCTGGAGATTGAATTAATCATCAGAGTCCAGTGATTAAACCAGTGATCTGTACAAAGTGAAGCCTCCATAAAAATCCTCACTGAAGGGGTCCGGAGAGCTTCTGGGATGGTGAACATGGGGAGGTGCTGGGAGGGTGGCATTCCCAGAGAGGACATGGAAGAATCTGAGTGTCACTGCTACATGCCTTTCCTTATGCATCTTTTCTATCTGGCTATTCCTAAGTTGTTTTCTTTTCTAATAAACTGATAACCTAGTATGTAATATGTTTTCCTGAGTTCTGTGAGCCATTCTAGCAAATTATCAAACCCAGGGAGTGGGTTGTGGAACCCCCAATTTGTAACCAGTCAGTCAGAAGCATAGATGACGACCTGGACTTGGGATTGGTGTCTTAAGTATGTGGAGAGGAGCAGACTTATGGGACTGAGCCCTTACTTGTGGGATCCATGCTAACCCCAGGTGGTTAGTGTCTCAATTGAGTTAAATTGCAGGGTACCTAGTTGGTGTCCTGAGAGTTAGAGACTTGATATGTATGAAAAACATATAGACATCAAAAGTGCTGGTGAGTAGTGAGTAGAGAGAAACAGGAATGTTTTTCTTACAGTTCCTTTCTTCCATAACATAGCCCTGTGATTCTTTATGATCTTGTTAGCTCTTTGATGCCTTTAGAGGATTTTTGTTTTATATTTTGTCCATTTTTTTTAAATTCTCATTGTAGAGTTGGTCACCTGCCATTAGCAAAAGTAGAACATCTGTTTTGATTTTTACTTTATAGTTTTCTTCAGCAGCTTATGAAAATGTCTAAATGTTTAGTTAACAGGCCTTTCCTTAGTTTTTCACTCACTCGAAAAACATTTAATATTTATTATATGTAAGCCACTATGTTACATGTTTAGTGAAGATGCAAAAATGCATCAGACACTCATTCTGCCTTCATGGAACTTAACCTAGTTGGGTAGAAGAGGATAATCATGTAAGATATCTCTCTTTCTAGACAGAAGCAAGAGTGAGAGAGAAATAAATATAGATAGATATAGATATAAAAACTTTAAGTGTGTAAGAGAGGTATATAGGTCAAGTGCTACACTGACTTAGAGAGGGGAGATAACATTCCTCCCATTTCAAAGGATGAGGTGAAGCTGTGGAGAAAAGAGGCTTTGCACTGGGTTTTTATCTTTAAACTGAATCCTGCATTGGGTAAAAAAACATGTATCGGTCATTATTCTTTCTGGTTGGTGATTTTTAACCATGTTGTGCAAAGATGAAAGTAATTCTGATGCAGTGCTGACTATATTCCCACACATTGAGAAAATTCAAAGTAAAATCCCATAAAAATTAATTTTCAGCCCAACTGGTGTGGCTCAGTGGATTGAGCACTGACCTGTGACCCAAAGGGTGGCTGGTTCAATTCCCATTCAGGGCACATGCTTGAGTTGCCAGGTTCCCCAGTGTGGGGTGTGCAAGAGGCAACCACACATTAATGTTTTCTTCCCTCTCTTTCTCCCTCCCTTCCCCTCTGTCTAAAACTAAATGAATAAAATATCTAAAAACTTAATTTTTGGAGAACCAGGTAAAATTTTTTCTCTTTGATATAACAATTATGTGACCATATGTTTTTAAACTTTTTTTATTAACTAATTCATTTTTCTTTTATGTGCTGTTTTAATAGATTTTTAAATAAACTTATATTGAGGCCTAATTTATATACAGTTGGATCCACCCAAATATATGCTTCCACGTACACCACCGCAGTCAAGCTAAGGAACATTTCTGCTACCACCACCCCAGATTTTCTTGGTCCCCTTCCCAGTTCTCTCTCCCTCCTCTGGCCCCAGTCAACTATCAGCTTGCTTTTGTCACTATTGATTAATCTTTTCTAGAGCTTCGTATAAATGTAAGCATCATACACATATTGTATCTGGCTCCTTTTGCCCAGAATGTTTTTGAGATGCATTCATATTGCGGTATATATCCATAGTTTGTTCTTTTTTATATGTATGACTGTCATGATTTGTTTGTATCATTTACTTAGGTTTGTTTTTAAACTTGTATGGTGCACATAGCTAATAATTTATTTAGTGTATATTGATTACTTATCTTTAGAATTGAGAAACATTAATGTCTTCAATTCTAAATTTATAAGGCTATAAAAATTGATTTTGAAGAGGTAGACCTCTCATTACCTACATAATTCTGGCAGTAGAATATGCTGCTGTGATACAGGTGTTCATATCATGCATAACATTTCATTGTGCATATATATTCTTATAGACGCCTTCAAAAGGTAGGCTAAAGAATGCCACTAATGGGATAATTTTAAATCTTGTCATAACTACTGTGACTATGTAGTTTAAATATAAATAATCAAAATTATATTATAGTTTATATTATTGTCTTTAGACTAAAGAATTTGGGTTTTAACTGCTTTCAACTTTAATATTTAACAATTTAATACTTTTAGAAAAATAAAATTTTCATAAAATTTAATATATATTTCATGCTTTTTAAAATATGACTATGTTATGATTTATTGCTATACCTTATAATATTCTTTGAAAAGGTAGTAATATTTTCCTTTGGAACTGGATTTCTTTTCCAATATCAATTTAACACATTATATTCTTTCATAAAGAATGGGTTTTCATATTTTTTGGAACTATAAAATTTTCCTCCTATAGGGTTTATTTGCCTTTTTTAAAACAAACCAAATTTGCACATAAAATTTCTTATGAACACTAAGCTACCTTATCCCATCTAGTATCCTCTTGGTATTTAATTCCTAAAATACTGATCTAAATTTTAGTAGATATCCCTTTTATCATTTTATTCAAAACATATGTAAAATTTTCTAGCCCTGGCTGGTGCAGTTCAGTGGATTGAGCCCTAGCCTATGAACCGAAAAGTCACAGGTTCAATCCCCAGTCAGGGCACATACCTGGGTTGCGGACCAGGTCCCCAGTTAGGGGGGGTGTGAGAGGCAATTGATCAATGTTTCTCTTGCACATTGATGTTTCTCTCCCTCTCTTTCTCCCTCCCTTCCCCTGTTTCTAAAAGTAAATAAATAACATTTTTTAAAAGATTTTATTTATTCATTTTTAGAGAGGGAAGGGAGGGAGAAGGAGAGAGAGAAACACCAATGTGCGGTTGCTGGGGGCCGTGGCCTGCAACCCAGGCATGTGCCCTGACTGGGAATTGAACCTGCGATGCTTTGGTTTGCAGCCCGTGCTCAATCTACTGAGCTACGCCAGCCAGGGCAATAAATAAAATTTTTAAAATTTTCTAATAGAGTTGATTTTTTAAGAGCCTAGGCTCTGGATTCAATTACCCGAGTTTGAATTCCTATTCTGCCATTTCTTAGCTGTGAAACTTGGGACAAGTTTAAAATCAATTCCTCTTGTATAAATTTAGGAGATAATTTACAGTTCTTAGCACAATGACTGAACTAAATACATGCTTGTTGAATTAATGAATGAATGTCTGTTCTCTGTTGTATATAACCTGCAATCATGTTTGTAAAAATTTCATATTAATGTCAATTTGGGATTCTCTAAATTCCAGATGACTTAGTAACTTCCTGACCACAGTCATAAGTTAATGAATACCGTTAGTGACTATGTAATATACTAATGATAAAAAGCACTCTTTAGATTGTGTACTGTTCTGTTTTTTTAAGTGCAGACTGGATGCTATTCACAGTTACTGGATGTATTGGGCAGGGAGGAGGACCCAGAAGGATTTGAGTTCTATGTGAATACTCTGCATTCTTTTCTTTTCTTTTAATGTATCAATTAGTCCCCGAACCACAGCTGCTTGATACTGAAGATTGCGACCTCAATGTGGTGAGATTATGTTTTCAAGTTTTCCTCTATGATGAGCATGGTAATTTGACGACCACTCTACCTCCTGTTGTCTCTAACCCTATTTATGACAACCGTAAGTACTTTATATTCTTGCATTTTAGCCTTAGCTTGTTTTTTATAGTTTAATTTTTTAAAATTATTTCAGTAATTAGAAAAACTATGTTTATTATAGGAAAAATTCAAACATTCCTAAAATAATAAGAGTTAGGGTGAGTTACTGGATTATTGCCCAGATAACAGGAAACATGAAAATTGTGTATTGCCTTAGGGTTATGGTCATAATTTAAGAAGATTAATTTGGTAACAGTGTGTAGGTTGGATTGGGAAAATCAGAATTTAGGAGCATCAAGATTCATTGCCTAGAAATGCAGTCACTCTAAACCGGGTTAGACAATGCAGTTAGAAAGGAAAAGAACAGATGTGGATGATCAATGTATTTAGTGTTCTTAATTTACTTACACATTAAAGTTTTTTTATTTATTCTATAAATTGGTTTCCTAAAATTCTCTACCTCAAAAAGGAATAAAATATATTAATGTAGCAACCCATTAAAAAATTCTTCATACTTAGGTGCTCCTAATACTGCAGAGTTAAGGATTTGTCGTGTAAACAAGAACTGTGGAAGTGTCAGAGGAGGAGATGAAATATTTCTACTCTGTGACAAAGTTCAGAAAGGTATTTATCTGTTTTTTGTTTGTTTCATTGAATTCATGATATATTTTAAATTACTAGATATATTTTACTTTGTTTTCCCATTGATAGTTCTTTGCTTTCATATTCACTAGATGACATAGAAGTTCGGTTTGTCCTGAATGACTGGGAAGCAAAAGGTATCTTTTCACAAGCTGATGTCCACCGTCAAGTAGCCATTGTTTTCAAGACCCCACCATATTGCAAAGCCATAACGGAACCAGTAACAGTAAAAATGCAGCTGCGGAGACCTTCTGATCAGGAAGTTAGTGAGTCTATGGATTTTAGATATCTGCCAGATGAAAAAGGTGTGACTTCTTGGTGGTAATGTTTTATTAATTTTATAAAATTAGTTCTGCTAATAACATTTCTGTAGGATACATTGTTACATTTTCTTCATAGTTTACATTTCTTTTCCTGACAGTTTTCAGCTGATTTTTCAACCAATTGATCTTTATGTTCTTTGTAGCTCTTTCTTAGGAAAGGATCTGGAATAATTTCAAAGTATCTAAACCATTTATCAAAATTTGTTTTATATTTGAGGGGGGGTTCGGTCTTTATTGTGCCCTTTTTATAGATAGCAAACTTTCCAGTCAGAGAGTGGTCTCCATTTTGCTCCTTTTCTGCCCTTATTGCTTAGTTGATATTGTTGACTTATAGGTGTTAGAAGAAAACAAGATTAATATCAAAACTATTTATTAAGAGAAAAATATTTTACCACTGGCTTAGGATACTCTGCAATACTTACTAAATCCATATTATGTACATTTATTTAAAGCATTTTCTATATAGGAATAAAACATTTGGTTTATTAAAGGAGAAGAAGCGTGATGATCCATTCACATGCTTTTCTGTTTTGTTTCTAACCAGATACATATGGCAATAAAGCGAAGAAACAAAAAACAAATATACTTTTCCAGAAACTGTGGCAAGATTGTGGTAAGAATGTTTTGGATTGATTCATATTTAAATAGATTTTGTGGGATATTTTTTCTTTATAAAATTTTTCAAATTTTAACTGATAATGTTATTTTTCAAATTACATTTAATAATGGAAAAACTTTATCACAGCAGTTAATTTTCCTGAAAGACCTAGACCTGATTCCCTAGGACCAACTGGCGAAGGAAGATTCATTAAAAAAGGTATTTTATTCCCTATAGAATATTCCTTGTGATCAGAAAGACAAATGCTTTGCACAGTATATTGGAATTTCATTCTTAGGAATAAAACAACTTATTTGATATTTTCTACTCCTACATATATTTTCATGCTTTGAATATTGAATAAATTCATCTTGGCTTCCAGAGGTCATACTGGAGACTGGTTTTGTGGAGTTGTTGAGAAATTACATTTTGTTCATATGGTGATAATTTTACTATAGTATGCCATGCCAGAAATGGTTTAGATCTGGCCAGTAGCCCGTCTATGCACGGAGTTTTGTTGGAACATACCCATGCTCATCTGATTGTGTATTGTTTGTGGTTGCTTTTTCCCACCACAGTGGCAGAGTTGAGTAGTTCCAACAGAGGCTGCAAAGCCTGAAATGTTTATATCTGGCCCTTTATAGAAAAAGTTGCCAACTTCTGATTTAGATCATTCAACCAGGGTTAATTAGAAGTCTTTTTCATGTTACATTCTGAAATCAGTGCTTTTTCCTGGGTTAGTATGTATAGCAATGTAAATAAATAATGTGTAAATAAACAGAATCCCTACTTTTTTTGACTGGGAATGTGTAGTACATTAGTGTTATATCTTAATACAGCTTAGAAAGTTAGGCAGTGGTCTTTCAATTATCCCTAGTGAGTTCCTCCACTGCTCTATTTTTTCTTAAAAGTGGAGAAATTAAATGATTTTGGGCTAGAGTTCCACTAACTGAAATTCTGATATTCGTCTTTCATTTTTCAAAAATACCTTCATAGGACCTCGGAAGACAGATTTTCAAATTAACTGCAGTGAAATTATCTATGCCAAAATAAAAGCAAAATTATTTATAGGTATTTGTAAAACAGTAAGTGTCACAGAATTCAGTTTTGGACTCATATAATAATTTTAGTGCTATTTAACATTTTATTTGAAATGCTACTCAGTGTCCTTAAATTTTCTTTATTAACATGTTTGTGCAATTTTTAGAAATAGTACTTTCTCTAATTTTGTTCATTCAGTTTTGTAAAAATATATTTCCCCTCCCCCACAGAATCCAACTTGTTTTCTCATGGCGCAGCTTTGGCAGAAATGCCCAGGCCTTCAGGAGTTTCAAGTCAAGCAGAACCCTACTATTCCCCGAATGTACCCATGTCCAGTGCACTGCCACATCATCCTTCAGCCATACCCACAATGGTACCTCAGTCTTCTTCAAGCTGGTCTTCCGTGGCCCACCCCACCCCATGCTCAGTCAATACAAATCCACTGAGTAGTTTTTCAACAGGGACACTTTCCTCTAATTCACAGGGTATCCCACCATTCCTGGAAATGCCTCTTGTGAGTGAGTTGAATAATGCTTCCAATCCTTGCCTTTATAACAGTACTAACAATATAGGCAGAATGGAAGCGTCACCCATGTCAGCTGACTTATATAGTATTTCTGATGCCAACATGCTACCTAACTGCCATATGAATATGATGACACCCAGTAATGACAGCATTAGGGAAACCGATAATCAGAGACTTGTGAGCATGAACATTGAAAGTCCCTCATGTAACTCAGTGTTAGACCCAAGAGACTTGAGACAGCTCCATCAGATATCCTCTTCCAGCCTGTCAGCAGGCGCCAATTCCAGTGCTGCTGCATTTGTTTCACAATCAGATGCATTTGAGGGATCTAACTTCAACTGTACAAATAACAGCATGATAAATGAGTCAGGGTCTTCGAACGGTGCTAATGCAAACAGTCATGGTTTTGTTCAAAGTCAGTATTCAGGTATTGGCAGTATGCAGAATGAGCAGTTGAGCAACTCATTTGAATTAGACTTTTTCCCCAGTTAACTTGTAAAATTTAAATAGTGATTCAAGATTTAAATCTTTTTACGTGTTTGCAACTATTTTAATGTTATCTGCATAGGTGCAGTGTTTTATATTTCTCTGATTGAGACTATCACAGGAATATTTGGTGGTTTAGTGGTGTAGTGGTTTTGTGAAACTCACCCAGTTTGGGTGTATAGGAGAGTTCTTTAACAGTCAGTCCTGGCTCTGGAGCTCCTAAAATTTTTCAGGATGTAAATAAAAGATGAATGTTCAGTGCTGAAGTTACCACTGAAAGAGAGGGATGAGCTCATTTTCCAACTTCAAGAAGACCTGGGAAAAGTTCATCATTTACAGACAATTGTTACTTCAAGAACAGATAAACCCACACAAACTGAACTTCCAGACTACCTGTGGTGTGGAATCCTACGCGCACTGCAGAGTTACTTAAACTAGTGCGCACTTCAGCCTACATGCACTCATTATTGAGCATTGGAAGTGTATAAATGAATCCGTGGCATGCTAAATATTTAATAAAATCAGTTTTTCTGTATTAAAAAAAAAGTTTGAGTATGTAGAATACAAAGTTGGAAACTGCCAGAAAGGGTGCTCTCCAAAACAGAAATTTAACAGGGTTTTTAGTGTTTTCTTCTTTTGAAACATGTGACCTGACACTGTGTGTGATAGGAATTCTATCTTTAGGGTTTCACCATGTTTCCTCAGAACAAAGTGGAGAACATTAGCTCCAGCTTTTCCAAATATGCTTTTTTATATTTCTTTTGTGATGTATTAATGTATTCTTAGTTAAATGAATTGATATTTGCTTTTGAGCAAATTTAAGGTAAAACTTGTAATGGCTATGTCATTGGAAAAATTCCTTGTTATTTTTGAGGAGCATGGGCTAAGGTGACCCCTAAGGGGTTTTTCTGAGCCTTTTTGCAGTTTCTTAGATTTATATGTAAATCAAAATTTTTTTAAAATGCTAAGTTGTATCAAGGCCCTTTCAAGGTATGGGGGGGTTCTCTACTTTTGGACTATTTAAATCCATACTTTTAAAATTGCTGATGATTTTCAGTTTTCACCCATGTTTTTAAGGGGAAGAAATTTCCTTGGACCTCCAAGGAAAGTTCAGGTGTACGCTAGAGACAAAATTTCAGAGTTGACAGCATGAAACTGGGGGAGATCACAGTGAGTGAGGACAGAAATTTCCTTGGAGGTCCAAGAGACTTCATACTTGGCGTTCTCTCTGCCTGACTGGTTTTCTCTCAGGTGTGTTAAATTGTTATATCATATAAATAAATTGTTATATCATAAATAAATTGTTATATCATAAATTGATTTGTTGAGGAATTAAAGAAACTTCCATGGGATGTTTCAATAGTATGGAGAAATGAAAAGGACAGGAAATTTTTAGTCAGACATATGGGTTTTAATCTTTAGCTGTGCTACTTAGAAGTTGTGTGATATTTAACAAATCACAACTTCTGTGTGCCTATCTCTTCCGATACAAAATTGCAGGTGATACCCAGACTACCTACCTCGCAAGGCTTGTTGTACTGAATAAAATAATGTGTAAGAAACACTGTTAATTGTATAGTGCTAATCAAATATTGTTAATAAGACATCTGTATATGTCTTGTGGCCCTTATTAATCTCTAATCCAAGCACTCCTTCCAGTGGCAGAGTGAGAAAAATCACCATGGATTAGGCTTCCATAGTAGGAATCCTGAAATAGGTTTCTCTTCAGAGTGGCCAGCTATTTCTCAGGTGTGGAGGGCCATCATTTGGCCTTATTCTTTCCAGAACCACTTCCTATTGTATAGCAAAGACAGGCCAGTTAATGACTTCCAGTTCTGAAATTCTGTGACTTCTAAATTTCTTAGCCATTGATTATGAATCAATAGTAGTATGACTGTCTTCAAAAAAACAGTCTCATCATACCTAATGAAGTTATCACTATAAGATTTCTTACCTATTTTGTTTTCAGAGGTTGAATATGAAAAGGACAAAATTAGGATTTTTTTTATCACATGTAATAGAAAATTTATAAGCGCATCTGAGGTAAATGTATGAGTTGCCTGTATCCAGTTTTATGCCTTTGTTTATTTAAGACTGAGTCGAATTAATATTTTAACTTATATATCTTGGCAGAATTTAGTCAAAAGTGCAGGTTTAACATCAGTGGATAAGATTGAATCTCAAAAGTAATCTTGTCATTTTTTAATGCAAACCAAAGTTTATACCTACCTCCAAAAGACTCCACCATGACTCTGTTACCCTCATTAATAAAATACAGATAAAATTTATAGACAATTTTTTTCAATCTTAAATGTCTGTGGCTTCAGGAAAAAAAAACATCGCCTGCTAGTAATGATCTATTTAAAAGGAGTGGAATTTGTCATGCTCTAATGTTCTAACCACCTGCTTCTACAAGTTGGTGCTTCAACAAATCAAGTTTTTAGGGATATCAGCAGGTAAATAAAATACAAATTGGTAAAAGTATCAAATATTCATTTTGCCTATTTTCCTCCTTGAACTTTATTGTCAAACCATTATAACTTTGTATAAAATGTACTAAGAATCAGGTCAGGTTGGAGTCTCTGGGATCCATTTGTGGAATTCCATCTCAGGAGACTTCACTGATGACACACTTGATTTGACTGGGTCATCAGCTGAGAATGTTGGTCACTGGCACACAGTTCAGGGAGCTTCAGGATGAAATGGCAAGGAAAGCACAATCAAGTCCTTGGGTGAGGGGCATTCTTAAATGCATGGTTCAGACGGGATGAACCCTTTGCAAATTATTTGTTTTAAAAGACCCTTATGGAATAGCACTATTACTGTATTTTTTGGACTGTTGTAGATATGTTTATATGCTTTTTAGTGACTAATGAATTTAGATGCGCTGAAAACTTTTTTTAAAGTTCTCAGATAGTTTAATTATTTAATTGTTAAGGGGTGCATTGATAGAATTATTTTTAAAATGTCAGTTATTGTACAGAATATTGTCTCTGTAATATCTTTGTAAACAGTGATTTTTTTTCTTGGTAATATAATAAATGGAAAAATTCTAAAACCCTTAATAAAATGTTGTTGCTATTTGACTTTAAAAATATCAAAGAGCCCTGGCTGGTGTGGCTCAGTGGACTGGGTGCCAGCCTGTGAACCAGGCAGTCACCAGTTCTATTCCCATTTGGGGTATAAGCCTAGGTTGCAGGCCAGGTCCCCAGTTGGGGGCACATGAGAGGCAGCCACACAGTGATGTTTCTCTCCCTCTTTGTCTCCCTCCCTTTCCCTCTCTCTAAAAAAATTAATAATTTAAAAATCATTTAAAAATAGCAAAGAGGTTTTCTTTGCATCTATAGCATCTTCACAGAAAAAGCTAGTTTTGGTTGCTTAGCAATACTAGGCATTTTAATAAAACACTATAACTGAATATACTTGAATATGTAACTGTCCTTTGAAATGACAGATAATTTTACAGAGTACTAAAATGCTTTTTAAAAAGGTTTTTATTTTCTGCCTTCCTGACTTATTTCCTGCCTCTTTCTCTTCCTTCCTGAATAACTGAGGACAAGTCATTCACTTATTCTGAGCAAGGTACAGGTAGATATTACCACAGTGGGTGAAAGTACTGGCCCAATGTGGGATTACAGTGTGTGGAGCCCAAGAAGAACATGTGAGGGTGGTAGGGAGGAGTGTCTCTGTGATCTGAAATGAGGATGCAGTGATAGATTATTTATGAGGGGGAATGATCTATTAAGTTAATATAGTAGAGCTAATGGGAGCCAGATTTCTCACTCTCAGTGAAAGAAATGACAAATGTGGAAAGGGAGAGAACACTAGAGTAAGGTTGCAATTGGAAGTACTGGTGTAACTCATAGTTTCAATATATGTAAAGAAATCCATAGAGGTGCCCTGGGCAGAGTGGTTCAGTTGGTTGGGCATCATCCTGCAAAGCGAAAGGTCATTGGTTTGATTCCTAGTCAGGGCACGTGCCTGGGCTGCACATTGGTCCCAGGTCAGTGTGTGTATGGGAGGCAACGGATCACTGTTTCTCTCCCTTTCTCCCCGCCTTCTCCTCTCTCTAAAAATAAATAAATATTTTTTTTTTAAAAAAAGAATACATAGAGGTAAGCGTGCATGTGTGCGCATGCCATGCGAGGGTTTGGGAGCAGCAATGCCACACAGCAATGAGCATACCTAGTGCCCACATTTTGGTCTCCAAATATCATTTTCCATTAAAAAGAACTAGTTCCTCATAGTGAAATAGCCCACTCTAGGGCTGGTGAAGATGAAACACAAGATGAGCCTGGAGTGTTCTTTTGTATTAGAAACAACTAAGAACATTTCTCCAAGAATAATGGGGTCATGTCAAAAGGATACAGAACTCAGTTTGATGAGGCAACCAAATCAGTTTCTTTGCACTTTTCTTGTAAATCAGTACTTAGAAATCAAAATAAACGTGAGTAGTAAATCATAACCAATCAAATAAAACAAAGCCATGAATCCACAAGAAGGAAAAGTTCTGCGTAATTCAGAACCTAGTTCTATGGAATGCCAACCAATAAATGTTAAAGGAATTAGAAAATCATTTGGACTTTGACAATCGTGGTTAAAATCAATTCAGTTGAAAGTCATCAATGAATGCTAATACTAGTAAGTGAAAGTTGGATGGTTCTATATTTATTAATCAAAGAGGGGAGAGTGGAAGGGCTTGACAGACACTACTTGTATTAACTGATCAAAGCCCAATCATTGGTAAAAGCGTGACACAATTATATAAAATTGTTATATAAAGATAATATTTATCTTATTTTTTATGATACATGAAGAAGATACCATCTCTTTTGTGTTATTCTTGCTAGAAAGGTACAACCTGAATCTATTAATGAAACACCAGGCAAACTCTAATTCAAGAACAAACTACAAAATAACTAGACTGAAATCATCAAAGTGTTAAAATAATGAAAGTCAAGGGAAGATGAACTGTTCCAGATTGGCGGAGACTAAAAAGACAACTAAGTGCAAAGCATAATCCCTTGACTATGTAATACCAGATTAGTTCCTGATCTTGATGATCACTGTGTTACACTGTGGTGAATGAAGTAGAACATTGATCTTGTCTGTAGGAATTACATACTAATGTATTCAGGGTGATAAGCCATCACTGGCTCAATAGTTCAGGGAAGAAAGTTTCTTTGCACTTTTCTTGCAAAACTTGAAATTACTTCAAAATGAAAAAACATAAAAGTAGTATTTTTCATAATAAAGGCACCACTTAAGAAAAATTAATTCAGAAAAGCTTATATCAAAGTTCATTCTCTTATGTGGACTTAAAAATCAAAAAATAAAGCTCCAAAAGAAAATATCTACCTAAGTAAGATGTTTTTCTCTTTGGAAATGGAAATTTAACTAATAACTTAATTCTACATAATTTGAAAATGCAACCAGTTATCTTATTTAGGAATTTTTCATTTTCCCAGCTTCTATTTATTTATTTTTACTTTTCCAGGTATTTAGAGTTGGTATTTTTACTAAACTAAACCACAGACTATATTTGGGGCAGAAATGTTAAGCAGTACAAATGACCCTTTCTCTAAGTATTATTTAAAAGATTTAATTTAAAGCAATAAGAGATCACAAAACTAATTTTAAAATGTTTTTATATAGGCAAAACAAACTATAATACTTTGATCACTTAATGAGTTCTGCGTAAACAAAGATCTACGTTAATTTGTGGCTCATAATCCTATGAACACTTGGAACAAGTACTTAAAACTAAAGTTTACTCTTTTCTTGAAATTTTGCATAACCACAGGGATAGAAATTTAAGAGGTAGAAGTCTTCTAATTTAAGCTGGCTATGGAGGTTCTTAAATCTCTTTTGTAGCAAAATTTCCCCAGAAACCAAGAGACATGCACACAAAAGTTCTTACCTTTTTATCAAAAGTTAATTTTTATTATCTTTCTCATTTTATGGCATTGAAAATAGTGAAAAAAATTGCTATTATTCACATAATGAAATTTCATGTCAAAACATTTTCCTGATTTCTGTAGTGAATAATACATCTTAGTATCTATGAATTGTGTTTAATGTAGAGAGGGAAACTGAGCAATCCAATACTATCCAAGTCACACATGTTGTAAAATAAGCTCAGACAGTTGGATCAGGCTGACAGAAATTACACTTAAGTGTGAAATTTTAATGAGACTCCTTTCTGAAAGTTTTCTCTTAATGACTCAGCCATTTTCTTCAGATTTTGCTTATTTAATGTTTTTCCTCTTCATTGTACCAATTGATTAACTTACTAACAAATGTTAATCATATGAGATCATATGAAATACACTTGGGCTATTTTGGGGTAAGCTCCTTGATTTGGCATCTAAATTACAAAAGTCAATTCTCATGGTTACGTGCATGTAAATGACATCCTCAACTGCTGCCTTCATACACTATGTGCTCAATAGTAAGGCTTATTAGAAAGGACCTACAGACCAGGAAACTTTAAGTTCTAGTCTTAGATAGGAAAGCAACTAACAATTTTAGCTAAATCATTTAACTTCTGTTCTTTGGTTTTCATATTTATAAAGTGGTGATGATGATATCCTATTTACCTGATGAGGATGTTTGAGGTTAGATAATATATTGAAGCACTCTGGAATAATATCAGCTTACCTTCATTTGGCAATTTCAGTTTTTCAAAATCTTATCCCTGGCATTGAAGTTATTGAAGGCACTTGTGTCTCCTTATTTAAAAGCTTTTTTAAAGTCTCTTACCATGGTAAGCCTTGATTCCTAAGGTTTTACTTTCCTTTCCCAGGAAAGGTATTGACCATTTTAGATTGTCAAAATAGTAACTTGAAGTCATTAGCATTTGTGATAAATCACACCAAAAGTACCTCTACTGGTAATAGCTTGCTAGAAGCTTACTGGGAAAAACATTAATGGTGTCAGATTTGCATTTGATATCTTATTATAAGATACTGTGCTGCATAAATATAGGTATAGCTTATTAAATCATTTAAAAAATTTAGAACATGATTTTAAAGGTGGTATTTCTCTTGTGAAAGGAAGTTTTGCTGGAAGAAATTACAGCTTCTTAAGATTATCAGAGAATGCATCCTGTTTGTGTACCTCTCTAAATGAAAATTAAGATAGAGAATGGTTTCATTATTCATAGTTTTGGATCATGGAGGTTGGAGAGGGAACAAGAAAAATCATTAAGACATCCTTAGAACAATGTAACACACAATATACACATACTGTATGTGGATCCTGAGATGTTACAAGTTTAAAAATAAATAGATCAACATGATCCAAATAGTTTCCAAGATACCGTTATAGTGCGTAAACAGCTGTTTTACAGTGTATGCTGAATGGACGTCCACATCGTGCCGTGAAAACCCTACTCTGCTTCCAAATTTGAGAGCTAGTCATCCAGAGCAGGGGGCCAGTCAACATCTACAGACTAAAGGGAAGAAAACAAGTCATTAAAACATATTGCTGTTCTAGGAAGCACTTGCTGATAATGCTGTATAAATTTAATACTCCTAATATTACTATAACAGAAGAAATCACATTTAAAGAAAAGAGCCAATGAATACAATTTAACATCCTAAACCCAATTCTAGGCCTTGGGATTCTTGGATCTGCAGTCTGTTGCTGAATTTATTAAGTATTTGGTTACTCAGCTGGTTATTAATTGTGCCTTTTGACTGATAAGAGACTAGAGTACACTTATAATTTTTTTAATTAGCAAAAGTAGCTAAGTTAAAAGTGAACATTCAGTTGGCAATACCAACTTTCCCTCTGAAATCTCAGCAACTTTTATTCTTCTGATCCTTTTCCTTTTCCCATATTTCTACTCGCCCTGGTCTAGTTCTTCTAAAACAAAACCAAATGAAATTACAGTACCAGACTATTTTGTGCCACATTCCAGGGATTAGAAGTATTAAATTGCACCTCATCTTAACTACCCTGGAGGGCCTAATTTAGGAGAAAGTTTTTTTAAAATCCGCTGTACTGTGTTGTTTTTGGGATGTAAAGTTAAAAACTTGGATTTTTAAGTTGATCAGTGAGT